ATATATATATAACTCATATATATACTGTGATACTGCAAATACTGTGATTTATATATATAATATAAATCACAGTATTTGCAGAAGAACAAAAATGTTGACAACTGAAGGATCGAGTAGCTGTGGAGCAAAAGGACATAAATTTGCAGCTGCCTCTTTTATGGTGTACTCTCATTGTTGCACCGACTATATTTTGCACCTGCGTGGCCTCTTCCACAAAACCCGAAGGATTCCCCCTCCCCACCCCCAATTACCACTGTCAGGCATCTGCAACATCTCTGCAAAGAGGCCTTGTCTAAATGGAGATTCATACAAAGTCTATACAAATGCATGTTAAATATAAAACTTCAAATATAAAGCTTCAAAGGTTAAGCAGTTGCTCTGATGATACATGTTGTAGTCCACCAGCACATTAGTCAGTTTTAACCCTAAAAAAACTCATCTGAATGTAGGAGTTTAACATGTTGACAGTTTTTTTGTCTTTCTTTCTGTGAGCAATGACCTTGACAGCTGACAGCAGTGCATTATTGCTGCGTAGCTTGTTGACATTCAACAGGCAGGAGCAAGGGCCCCACATGCTCCGTCAGACAACAAGCACCAACAGGAGCCTCATACCACAGTAAAACAATAACTCAGATCATCAAAACACCCTTCTTTCTCTCTGTTATAAAGAGGAAAAATATACGCCCTCTATTGGAGCATAAAAATAAACAAAAACAAACATAGGTAGAAAAAATACTTCTGTGTAAAAACACAATTTCTATAGCTTTTACAACACAAGAGTGCCCCTGCTAGTCACTCCTCAAAGTAGACACAGTTACAGCCTTAAAAGACGAATCCTTTGTATAAACATTCATGCTTGTTAAAGTGAAAGACTTCTACCAATTATGGACTTTTCAATTTCAGTGCATGATGAAGCTGGGGATCTCGAATAGTTAGCGTTGAAGCTGAGGTTTCCTGTAAGAATGTATGCACACACTGCCTGAGGGAAAGGTGTTCACGTGAGTAGTTTATAGTTTTATATACAACCAGTATTATACTTTGGCTGATACCACACCTTCTCTCTCCTTGTATTTTGTCTTTTCTTGATGCATACACACAAAGTCAGTAACCTGAAATAAAATTTCCCCAAATGAAGCATATACATATAATCTATTTTGCTTTTATTCAAAGATTAATGC